GTTATTGGTTTTTACCGGGTTTTTTAAAATGCATTCTTAAATATGATTATATCAATAGTTGACTTTATTTCAAAAGTGGTTGCAACCACTATTGTAATAACGCAGACTATTGAAATAATCATTCTAGGAGTGGTTGAGAATGCATCTCAAAACCCAAACCACGTATCCACACAATACGTAAGTAATGCTCATCTGTGAAATAATTATTTAAGTAGCAAGTTTTTTTATATCAATAGTGGGTGTAACATTGAAATAAAACCTACTATATGTACTTAAAAACCTTGTACTTTTCAATAGACAATAGGGGCACTGGGTCACACTGCCTACTTTTATTCTTGTTTATAATATAAATATCAATTGATCCTTATTTTCATTTCAGAAGTGGGCTTTCTATAATAGTGGTTTAATGAAATCACAACCATTATTGAAAGAATTATTTCATTTGTGAACTTGAATAGTGGCTGTTACCTGGTTTAGGTTTTAAAATACAGTCTCAACCACTATTGAAATAATTATTTTAAAATTCTGCGTTATTTCAATAGGGTTGCAACCTTGTTTGCTTTTGAAAATCATTTTTAACTACTATTAAAATTATTATTTCATAAGTAAAGGTAATATTAACAGTGGTTGCAACCTGGTTTTGCTTGTCTAATACATTTTAACCACTACTGAAATAATTATTTCATTAGTAAACGTTATTTCAAAAGTGATTGCAACTTAGTTTTAGTTTTCGTTTTGAAATGCATTCTCAGCCACTATTGAAATGATTGTTTCAAATAGTGGGCATTATTTCAATAGCGATTGCAACACCCGTGTCACGGCAGGCGTTGGCACGATAAGATTCCTCACTGCTCAATGGCCCTGAGTGCCGAGTGAAGGTCTAAATTTGAAACCCTTCACCAGTATGTGGTGATGACTCTATATATATGAGTTAAAAATTCCCGAATGTGATGTAAAAACACACAATCATACAATTAATCAATCAGTATTATATTATAAATATTGTATGTAGTTGAAGGTAACATTAAAACTTTTGATCCCAAGAAAACCATGGCGCGGCCGAGGTAAATTGACAATGGTTTTCTAAGGGTGAAGATTTTCAATTTTACCTTCTACTATATGCAATATTTATACTTGTATAGTGTTTTTTTTTAAAGTTTACATCTATATAAAGACTGAACATCATATCAAGAACTGGGCTTTTGAGTCTAAATATTTAGATTTTTAGAAGTGACCTGTCAAATAATCTTTCTAAGACAATCCCAACTCTGTCTGCGTAAAGTACTTATCTCTTGGGCCGTGTTAGAATACCGATAATATCAACATGTCGATCACCTTTACACTGTTTGCATTTTGTGTTCTGTATATATTTGAGGTACTGTAAAGTCTTCGACACTTTTGGTGAATTTCCTCAACCAAAACAGTTTCTGATTTCATTTTGTTTTATTTCAGGTTAGTCATGGCCAGAGAGAAAATTACATCTTCAAAGGTAATATCTTATAGTTTAGTATATATTATCACCTGTCATATGTTTCATTACCACATAATACTTCATTTTCCGGCATATTCATATTTACAGTAACTTTGTAAAAGGTAGAGATCTCGAACCCTATATTTGATGTTAGATGCTTTTCAAAGTACAATTCTTGTGTATTTCTATACTTAAATAAATTCGACTTTTTATTAAAAAGAATTTCAATAACCTACATACATGTACTTGCTTTTCATCTAATTATTTACAAACTGGATTTTATTCCAATATATAACAGACAGTCTAATTTATAACCGACAGTAGCAACTTCTTCTTTCAATTTAGCTTAGTCCTTAAAATGAAGCACATTGAATCATCATTAGCCTTACTAAAAGTATAAATGATATGGCCTTGGAAATAAATTGGAAAAAGCTCTTGTGAAGTTTTTCACAGAGACAAAAAATACACAATCCACAGAAAATAAATTTTCAATGCAGACCAGACGAATAAATCTCGTCTATGTCTATTTATTGATGAGTAGACTTCTAATCCAATAACTGTTTCAACTCCTCAAATTGCCTTCTTTTATCATTTTTTTTTCATACAACTCTTCTTTTTCTTCGTAACATTCTTCATGAAGATTTGACAAACCATTGATAACAACAAATTCCTACATAAACATCATTATTATCTGGTTCTATTTCTAGCTATACAGCAGAAAAGGGGCTTATTGTTATTTAAGACTTGCCAATTGTTGATTGAAATGACATAAGAATTAAATTGTTTTGGTACATTGTTGTGAAGACGTCATCGGGAATTCGGTAGTTTGTCTTTTTCAATATAAATAATGAACTACGTCTGTGGAATGAAACAGTCACTCTCAATATTAGGTATAAGTTATGTGTTTTCAAAAGAATTTTATTAAGATGCTAAACAAATCTTTTTACGTAAGTCAGAATCATTACCAAGCAAATCTAATATATCAACCATTATTTAAGATTCATAAAACGTAGAATTGTTAACAAAATCATACTCGTAAGAAGTGTGTTTGGACTGCAGTAAAAATAAATACATAAACAAATCATTCTACAGATACTGGCACGTGCAGTGACCTATATAGGGTCTAGATCCAGCTGTGTCATAAAATGATGTAGCAATGTTGTATTTGCCACCGGTTGCTGTAATTGACAGGTATTACAGAGTCTTCGGATGTTGTGTTAGATGTGACACGTGAGGAGGGTGTTAGGATACAGTTCAATGCCTTGGACGAGGATATCATATTAATTCTGACCAAAGTGTCTCCCACAGACTTCATGGCGGGAAATCTACTGGTTGCTATAGTGGAAGATGATGACATACGATCCTTATATATTAATTTCCAAGACGTAACAAAATTATTGTCAAGATTAGCTATTATTTTGGTATAATTCTGGAAATTTTGTAATGTAGCAGCAAAACAATTTTTAAGAAATTTTATTAGTTTTTTTCTATAGCGGAAAAAAATATCAATTTATAATTTTTATATTTACTGATGAATCTACACCATTCAGTCAGCTGAATGGTCACTGAAAGTTCTGGAGAGGACACTGAACTCTGCCATTCAGTCACCTTTCAGTAGACTTTCAGTCACATTTCAGTTACCTGAGTAACAAGGTTTCATCCTGTGAATCAGATTTATTTATTCTGTGCATTCTCCTTCGATACTGAAAGTTCTTTTTGTTTCAGCATGGTATTGAGTTTTACAAGGAGGTTAACGGCCGAGGATTTTTTTCTTTACAATGTTTGCCTTCGGATGACACTGACTGTGCATTAGTAAGTCTTCTCTTTAATCATGTATTTTTCCTTATCAGAATGACTTAGTTTAAGAGGACCTGCAGTCATGTTCTATGATCTGTTTTACCGGCAGTGGACACTGCATAGCTCTGCCTGAAATCACATTAAAGATGGTTTTCTAGTAACATACCGTCCGGGCAAACGGGAAATTTCATTATGTGTAGAATATCAGTTAATCGTTTTGCAAGAATATTTTTTGCCATCCCCTTTTACTTCACTTGCATCATGTGGACCTTGGCATTTAAGGAATTGTTTTATTATGTATTGATCACAATAAACCACGGACAGTAATACAATTTAGATACGTATATTACATTAGTTTTCGGTCTTTACGAGCTGATATTCTACTGAAGGTTTTCTTTTCTTTGCCTGCCTCTGAATATCCCTTGGTAATTAAAGATAACAAAAATGTATACACAAGAAATATATACATAAAACATACATGATTAAAGGATCTCATTTGACAACTAAACACCTTGTTTATTGGATTATTGATCTAATCATCAAATTCAGAGAAGTCTTAAGATGTACCAGTATAAACCAGAGCAAGGTTGCAACGTGTTTATGTTACCCTGCAAAGTAATTAAATGAGTTGCTACCTAATTCATGCCAAAAATTGAATCATCGTATTGATTTTTTTTTTTTACATATGATGCAAATTGGATGTCCACAACTTTGATTGATTGTATATTGTTTTACGTCCCATTAGAGAATTTTTCACTCATATAGAGACGTCACCATATACCGGTGAAGGGCTTCAAATTTTGACCTTTACTCGGCGCTCAGGGTCATTGAGCAGTGAGGGATCTTTATCGTGCCAACGCCTGCCGTGATACGGGGCCTCGGTTTTTAAGGTCTCATCCGCAACATTCACTTCAAAGTGCCGAGCGCATGGCGAAGGAACAGTTGCTACACATTTTTAATCGACTTAATCCACAACTTTGAAAGATATTCCAAAGTTTCCTGGAATCATATCATAGAGACATAAGTACTTATTAAAGATTAAGCTATACTTGTATCTTCTAGCTAATGACTCTCAAACGTTGAAAAAGATCTTCGCCAAACTAGATTTAAAAAAAGAGAAAATCTGAACTGGATAAAATGTGTTGTAAGTTTTAGTTTCATTAGTCAAAGAGCAGGAGCACAGGCAATCCATATGCGTTGTATCAAAGTTTTATGTAAACTAAATTTAGCTATGTGCTTTTTGAAAGAGTTTTAATCAAAATTAAAATAAAAAATGCAAAATATTTAAAAACAGTGCCTATTTTGTAAGCTCCAGTATTTTTTTTGGCGTATACCCATAATTTCATCATTTTTGCTTGAAGTATTCTCGGAAAAATAATATCAATTTGTAAAAGCAATTTATTTTGCGGAATATAGACAAATTATTGTTGAGATAAATATGCACACAGTTCTGAGCTCTACAAATTAAAGTTGGGCATTTCTTCCTGCAACCTCCCCTCATTTTTCAAATTATGCAATTAGCTTAATTGTTTTGATCTACCACACACCAATTATACACAGTTAAAGAAAATGTTTTAATTGTGGAAAGGGAATAAAAATGCATTTTTTAAAATAAATAATTTCTTTTTTAAATCACCATTCCATCAATTTAGGAAGGTTCTATATTCATGAAAGATCACGAAGTACTTATTGGACCGTTGCCAGAGGACAGTAAACATCCGGGGTCTTTGAATCGAAAAATACACAGAATACAACAAAGAAAGCTAAAAGGTATCAGGGTATTTCTAATCGTATAAAAAAGATTCAGCTTTCAGTCTAATCAAATGTACAGTGTATTTAGTTGTGAATGTAACAAGATTAAAAACAAGCTTTAGATGTCTTTTTTAAAGTTACAAAATAGCAAATCCTGGAAAAGTTTATCTACTGGAACACTTCATTAAATATAAACTATAGATCGACATTCTTGATCATTTGGCTTTTGAGCAGCGATGGTAATGAAAATGTTTTTTTTTTTACTATGAGTTGTGTTTTTGTTTTATTCTTTAAGAAAGAAACTTCTCTCTGGAATTAAAGTAGATCACTCATCTGAAACATTTCGATAAAAAGCATTGTTTCAAATGTGTTTCACATTAGTATCTTAAAACAATGCTTAATTTTATACATCCCATTCGTATTAGCCATACACCTTTGTTCAACAATATGCTGTGGGATTTTGAAAATACAAAGTGTTCATAAAATGCTGATTAGCCTTATCCTGTAGAATTGAATAAGGTTTCGAAGTTTCAATTTTGATCCCATGGGTCCATCAGAAGCTTTTTAAGGTGGTACAAGTATTAAACTTGTCAATGTAACTCCTACATATTTTAAAAAGGAATGAATTTCTGGTTAGAGGACTGACTTCAAAATTAATCGAGAGCTACGGTAACTTATAATATCAACATCTTCAGTAATGATTTGTCTGAGTGTATGGTATACTTCTAAATTTGCTAAAATTCACATGTCACAATTACTTTTTTAATTATGTCGGTCACTTGAGGTATTCCAAACTTTTCCTAGTCCTATCTTGCCCATTTAAAAAAGTTGTTCCATTTTTGGGGTGCATAATACCAGTCTTGGTTTGGATTCTTCGTGCAACCTATTTTTATGCATTAATAATGCATACATTGTTTTTGTAAACTACCATTTTCAGGCCCTGTTATGGTTTGTTTAACAAAGTTGTATATCTGATACGGATGAGGGTGCATAATTTTAAACTGAATTTGAATTATGCATGTGACCTGTATTAAAAGGAAGAATGATCAAGTTGAAACATGTTGCATAGATCAATTCATAAATGGACATACATATAAGTATGGTATTAATGTGGATAAAATTATTAAGAAAGGATGTCTTCCTCGGATGTTGTATTATTTCAAACATATAAATTCTGAATGTTAGTACAAATCCTACATTGATTTTGCTTAAATAAAAAATAAATGCATCAGGGGATTTATATTAGCAATGGTGCTTTAAACGTTGTATGTAAACTATATTTTTCTAAGAGTTATCAAGTAAATATAGATCCTAAAAGAGATCCATTTCTAAGTACATGTAATTACAAGTCCAACATTGTCCAAACTTGCACAGACATTACATTGGGGGATACGTATAGCCAATCATATTTCGTGTCTCAGGTTAATTTATTTCTCTAACTATTTTTAATTACACTTATTAATTTAGTAATCTCAAAATCTATCAAACATCAATAACCTCAAAACATGTGTATTTTCTAAGCTTTATACAATTATTCCTCACAAAAAATTACAGAACATGCGTTTGACTTCATAGACAATTGCTTCCTCAATAAAAATGGAACTCGTAAATTTTTCGATTGGTCGCCTACAAAAATACTTTGTTAAAAATTATTCTGATTCTACATACAAGTACTTTGAAGATATTAAGAATTAAAGATGCTGGGAAGATATTAAGAATTAAAGATGCTGGAGTTACTCGTTGGCAACATCTATGCAGTCTTTGGAGACCAGGTCTTCCAAATTCCAAAATGGTCGAATTCCGGTGGGAACTAATTATGCTCTTTTACAATTCGACATTTTTTATATTCCTATGAAGCACAGTTTATTCAAAATCTTCTACATGAGAAAAAGAGAACTCTTGTGATATTTTACTCGACGTTTAGACATATTGACGATGTTTTATTAATTAACAATAGTCATTTTCATTCATATGTCAACTCAATATACTCCAGTGAACTCAAATAAAAGACGTTACAGAATCTGCAACATCGATCCTGTTTCATATTCGGCTGTTTTAATAATAGGTGATAATTGGCAACTAATAGCTCAACCGTATGATTTTTCCATTGTCAACATTAATATTTGTGAAGTAATATTCTAACATTCCCTGCATATAGTGTTTATCTCTCCCAACGGATTCGATACACAAAAGAGTTCTCTGAGTACGATCAATTTTTTAAACCGAGGAAAGCTACTTACAAATAAGTTGATGTTACAAAAATTTGAACAATCCCTTTTTAAGGCAATTTTTTTCCGCAAATTCTACGGTTGTTTTAATGACTTTGTTTGCAAATACAACCTTTCGTTGGGTCCTATTTTGTCTGAAATGTTTCACCCCATCTGTAAGGTCATTGCTTTTTTGCTAAATTTGACTACAGAGTACTCCGTATAAATAATCAATACATAGAGCTCACGGCGGTTGTGACAGGTCGACGGGTGATGCTTACTCCTCCTAGGCACCTGATCCCACCTCTGGTGTTTCCAGAGATCCGTGTTTTTGTCCTGTTCACTATTCGATTTTTTACTGGATTTATGAGATGAATCACTGTTCGTTATCTTCGCCTTTTATATCATGATAATCTTATATCAGCCCAATTGTTATAGATTTTATATTGACTATAACGAATTAAACAAAAACATACACACAAACTCAGTCAACCTAGAATTAATTTAGAGGCCTCGTGGTTATAATAAATGTCAGACAGAAGCTTATAGCATGCATTGAATTGTTTAATGAAGACGTGCACCGATTCTTAATTTATCTCAACACTTATACTAACAATTTAATTTATTTCAAACAATATGCTAAGAATTTGAATGAGAATACTGTTGGATATCGACCTATGAGCATCCTCAAATCCATACATTAACAGTTTGGCTAATATCGCTGAGATTCTTAACAATAACCGTTTTCCGTGTATTTCAAAGGAAATATTTATCACTAATCCGACAGTTTCTGGAACATGTATAAATGAGGAAAGTGTTTCCCTATAACAACACTGTATTGTTACTGTATGCTTTATGGGCTTTTAATGTCGGATTTACATTTTCATCTCCGGTTCTTTGCTTTAATCAAAGCTTTCCAAAAGCTAGGAAATCCAGGTCATTAACTTAAGGCATAAGACTGTACATTCTCCGTTCAATTTCAGGAGTTAATGCCGCTGCCTAAATGTTTTCCTGTAAAAGCTTTTCGTAGAAATTGACGGCAAAATTTAAGTGTTTAGTTAGCTACTTAAGCCTAATGAAGTCTGTTATCAATGAAGACGTAAACCATCACATACTCCATACAAATTCTAATTCTAGAAGGAAGAAACTAGAAAGAAATCTTTATTTGTTTATTATTTTTGAATCTGATTATGCATATAAAAAACCAAATTTTCAGTTCATGAACTTTACAAAATACAGTCAATGTCGAGGAACCTCCAAATCTTAGTATAGTCATATCGAGAGCTGACTGTTGTAGGCGACATACAAAATTAGACCTACAATTATAAAAAAAAATTACATTACAGTGGACATAGCTTAAGACGCTAGTGTCTGTCTTTAGCAACCGGTTGTAATCTTCATGACTGTAAGGAGAAAGCAACACGGTATCCTGTATTTGGGGTTTGCACAGAACAGATTCACCATTGACTCTTTGGACAAATGACCCGAGGAGAAATTCATGTCTACATGCTATGTTCTCTATGATGAAATGTATGAAATGAAGCCCTGAGGATCATAATCAGATCCTCATAGTTTTAAACAGAAGCAGGTCTAAGGATTTGGGCTTAGTCATCCAAAAATTTTCACCTTGTTAATCAATGGAACCCAAAGTGCCACATTCTTAAAAGCACTGTAGATCACGTTTGGTATACTCATTAGCGAGTTGATTCTGATATGTTTAAAAAGTTGTCTGTTTGCCCTCATCCGACCGACTGCCATAAATTGTACCGATTCAAAACTTTTTTAAAAACTCGAGAAAACGAGTAATATTTTAATATATTTATTTATTTCTGAATTTTTTCATCCCCTCAATTTTTTTGAAAAAAAATCTATTAATACCTTTGATTTCCATATGTTTTCTATAAATTCAGTATTGATGTTGAAATATTTTTAATAAAAATAAAAATTATCAAAAAAAAAAAAAAAAAAAAAAAAAAAAAAAAAAAAAATTAAAAAATTTTTAAATCCTCTGTCGGGAGAAGACAATCAACTTTTTTTTAAATTGACAACCAATGTGAAACCGGGAAAGCATATATTCACAAAACATTGAATGAATTCATATCAGGTATCCTGTTTCTTTTTATTGAATTTTGAATCGCTACGGACTTTGAACCTCGGATTTTTCCGATTGAGAACTACATAGATCGACTTTACCCTTTAAATAAGTTGTTCTTTGTTAAATTCTTCAAACGTGTCTTAGGTCTTTCACACTTTGAGTTTGGTTGCAGTGGTTACAGCGTTTTCCTCTGGAGTTATGTATCGAATCCACTGAGTGAAGTAGAGACCGTTTTCTCAGGTGAATCCCTATAAACCAAGGTCCCATGTCGACGTAGATGTTGGCATGAAAATATTACTCAAATGTCAATAACCATAAGTGTTGAAAATAGGTCTAAATTTGCAGCCTTCCACTTGCAATTGGTGGCGTCATAGTATAAGTGAAAAATAAAAATAAAGGGACGTAAAGCAAGCAAACAGCAACAACAACTTAGTAGCATTTGCTGCAGAATTTCTGCAAGCTCCTTGATATCTTAAACTGGGAGGCCTCTGCTTAATTCTTCAAAGAGACCACCGAGGTCATTGATTACACAAGCAAAGGGGTGAACATCTTCAGCAAACAAGGCCACAATACACTTGGTGTTTGATCATGATGACGAGTACATTTTGGTCCTCTCCTATTTTCATCAAATTTATATGTATTTTTATCGGGATTTTTCGTCCAACTGCCATCATTTGGGGAAGAGTTGAATATACGTTGTTTTGTTTATGTGTCTGATCAATGATAATAGCAGAGAATGTTTTCTTTTTGTTCCGTACTTCAGATATTTCATGGCATTTTAAGGAGTTTCGCCATGTCTCTAAGCAAAGTTTCTGTGGTCTAGATCAGGGAACAGGTTCAGTATAATGCGGTGCAGGTGTTCATCTTAACTCTGATTACTAATGTTTGGACTTTGAATTATTATTGTGTTGAAATGTGCAATATCAACAAGCTTAAAAAGACTGTTTCTTCGTCTAGATCAGCTTCCTTTCCTTTTTTGTATACATCTATGTAAAGATTAAACAGGCTAACTACTAGTAAGCATTTGGTATAGCATTTGGCATCCACGTCTTCTGCGTCCAAAGGACTTATTTTTGCTAGTAGCAGATGCAAAACCCCACTTAATTTTCGATCTGTAGTGTGGCTACTTCGTGAAGATCATCTTTATTCTAATTTTCATCTGTATCCTTTTATCACTAAAGAAACTCTCTGTCTCTCGGATACTGTGCATTTTTGCAAACTTTGAGATATACGCTTGCAAACATTGATGAACTTTTCACTCTCAGTGAATGTTTTAGTGACCTTTTGCGCCGTTCCTAACCCTATATTTTATGATCAAAGCATTATTTGTGATCATACCTTCTTCAAATCCTTCTTGACCCTCACAGAGCCTTTTTTTTAACTGAAATGGTTAATGTCCAAAATTCTGGAATCCAAACAAATCATGTGAAACTGTGTGTTTTTTTTTTCTTTCTTTTGTACTTGTTAACACCTCTGCTCCTTTTTATTTACAAACAATTTCCAGTTTGTTTATGGGTGAATATACTTGAAGTAGACGTAAATGATCCATAAGTTAAAACCCCTTAGAAATGTATATTAGACCTTTCCAAACCTATAAGCAATTTATGAATAACTGAACTGGACACGTGGATATTTGTACGGCGTAAAATTTTGCGATAAATATGTTAGAAATGGTTCGCATTTGGTTTTTGCGATCGTTAAAGAATTCACAAAGTGTCTGGTTTGTTCTTTAATACAGCACCTCTCTTCAAAACCGTTCTCAGGGTGATACATTTTGCAAACCCCCCCCCCCCCCCCCCCGTCCACGTTTGCAGTGTGTCAATGTTAAAAGAAAATACATTTGAATATAATTTATTTTATAGTGAGTGTTTTTTTCTCAGAGACCAGAAGAGCTTATGCAATGATATAATGTTCGTCTGTTTGTTTGTCCTTTGTTCTCTAAACAATATTTCAAATCGCTACCTCTCCTACAATTTTGATACGATTCAATTAAAAAATGCATTCAAGTAGATTAAAGAATATGCATAATTTTGTGTTTCGATTTTTAATTTGGAAGAACAGTGGTGCCATGGTTTTCATCAATATATCAATAGATGTTTTATATGAAATTCTTTCAAAAATCCCTTTGTCTAATTAAAAATTTTTTAAAAAGACTTTGTTCACAAGTAGACTATATTAAGTGTATCAAGTTTTATAAATATATTTACTTTTTCATTATTCGTGAAATACGTTCCGTGGTCACTAGAAATGAAAGTTGTAAAATTATTTCAAAATGTTTTTCCTTCTACGGTTTTTGCCGTATTCCAATAAAATTTGGAGAAGACGATAGTGTCTTCCTACGTTTGCAAAAAATCGAAAATTTCACATGTCACTGGTTTTGGCTGTAGGAATGGTATACAGAAAGGGGAGAACAAAAGACATTACTAATACTGTAATGTGTTAAGATTGACCACAAGTAAAGTATTTAAAAATATGATGCAAGTCTGATAGTGCGGAGAATGGTAAATGATGAAAATATTTCGCTCCCCGAACAGTTTTTGTCCGATTTCAGTATGCACATGTACACAAAAATTTTTGATTTCGGCGAATGAAGGTTCCATACCTACAAGAAATAGAATTTTCTGGAAAAATTCATTCTGTTAAAACGCTATTCCTCTTACAGGTTTTCTTCCAGTTTCAAAAACCATGGTACACGAGAAGATTATAACTGTGTATGGATTTTTTACTTGTTTTTTTATTGAGACGTTATATTTTTGGAAGTCGCTAAGGTATCATTACGTCACAGTAAAGCCCTTTTCACAAAAAAATTAAGTTCTTGCGTAAGATTTTAACTTAAGAATATCTTAAGTGAAATATGTGAAGATAACGAACAGTATTCGAGCTCAAAACCCATTAAACATTACAAAATAGGAGCAGAGCAAACACGGATCTCTAAGACATCAGAGGTTGGATCAGGTGCCATGGAGGAGTGAGCATCCCCTGCCGACCGGTCACACTCGCCGTGTGCTCCTTGTCATGATCGGGAAATAACGGAAAAATCCGTCGACAATTCAGTGTGTAAAATAATGGCTTAACAATTAGTATGAAAAAATTCAGTCAGCATTTGACTTAATGACAGATTGTATTCGCTTACAAGGTCATTGTATTGACCATATTCATTGTATAGAACTTACGATATGATGACTTTAAACGAGATTGCTGATATTCTTGTTTCATCAACTTGTTTGTCAATAACTTACCTCGCTTTAGAAATTGTTCATACGTAGAGCATGCTCTGGCGTATCGAATCAACTGAGAGATATAAACCCCGTATGCAGGTGATAAGGGTATATTGCTGCATAGCTGAGGGAAGTTGACGATTGAAAAGATAAAGTCATCACGTTTATCATAAAGCTTTGTTGTTAGATTACCATTAACGTCTACCATTAAGACAAATCCTAAGTCTTTTCACGAAAGCATTCTTAACAGATTGAACTTAGATTTCACTTACGACAGACTTCGTCCCTAGCAACGATCTCAATAAGCTTTATAATACTTAAATAAGTGGACGAAAATAAAAATAAGGGTCAGTTTTCAACATTTGTCAGTAAAATACATTGACAACAAATATCGAGTGCAATCGATTGTGAAGCAAGGAAGTTTGAAATCTGACGTCATCACAATCACATGTCTGACGTAAAAGTTGGTCATACGAAAATCTTAGTGAAACTTACATCGTAAATATTTTGTAGTATATTTCATTTAATTTTTTGACAATAATTGTGAAAAAAAGTATAAAATATTTTTGTAAGGTGCTTTAAAAAGTTCAATTTAACATGTATTTTGGTTTTTGTGGTTATATAATTACAATGAAATCAGTTTTAAAATACTTAAGAGAGGGTTAGGGCTCTCGTAAAGTTACGACAGATTTTGCACTAACGACTTCCTTAGGAACTTTTGTGAAAACGATTTTTATCGCAAGTTTTCACTTAAGATAAAAATATGTCGTAAGATTTTTTTGTGAAAAGGTCTACAGAATCAAAATCAATAGTATTGTGAGAAATCTCTCTTTGCTGGTCAAAAGTTAAAATTAAATGACGGTCAATATTTTTCGGAGAAGTAATATCAATTATGAAGACTGTTTCTCTATATAATATAGGGACTATTCTTTACTGAATATAACAATTTTCTTTAGTCGTCGTACTAATTTTCAGTCGCGAGGATAAAAAGTAAATTTAAAACATGTATGAAAAATTTCCAAAAACAACAACAACAACACAAACAATCAATCAATCAATCAAACACAATGTGCTGATCAACGAACTTTATCACGCCCATGATATCGTTTGTCTGTTCTTCTTATTTTTTCAGGAATGAAAAGTTTTCAACATCACTTTTCGAATTTACAAAAAAAGTTCATCTTTGGTTTACAAGACCACGTGTATCCCATTCCTGGAAATGTCAATGCAACAGTGGAGGTGCTAGTATGGACAGATCTTTCGTATATCAGTTCATTTCATCAACTGGTTCACCATCCTCATGTGGAAACAGATATTTTGAAGTATGTGGCTACAGTTGTGCACGCGGTTAGTTTGTTTTATATTGATCTGTCTACGATCAGTAAATCTTGTCCTTACATTTCGAAGTAGATCTTCATTTAGTGCTCTATTTTAATCAAAAAAGCATTTATATCAGTTACAAAGGGAAAATTTAATTAACCAGAATTTGGAAAACAATTAGGTTTGCAAAAAGCCAAAACTCACCATGAAATATACAACATTCGCCTTTGCAATATATTAAACATAGTTGAAACTTACTATTTCCATACGCCGTCTCCACAAACAAACTTTAATATTGCTTATTGTTAATAAAGATTATGAAAATTCTTCATTTTTTTCTAAACAACAGGGAAATGAAATGTTTCACAATGGAATAAAGGATCCGTCATTGAATATCTCGGTATTCTTAACAGGTGCTGTAATTTGTAAGGTAAACATTTTAATACATTGATATTCCAAAAAAATCTCAATATTTCCCTCATTGTTTTAATAGCATGGTTCGGTCTAATTGTAGTCAGCAAACTGCAGTAAATTTACCTCAGACTTACTACATAATGGAACTGTAGAGAACCACAGGGCTTTGGACTTGTTTGCGGAGACTCTAGCGTCGACCTATAGTAACCATACGCTCAGGTTCCACTATGATTATGCAGTTGCCTTCACTCGGTAAACACAAATTTGCAGTTTTATTAACTCCCAAGACACTAAGTGACATTTATATTTTTCTGTAAAGATTGTTTTATTTATACAGCCTCGTCAAATACTTTTTTTACAATGAAAAGCGAACTTGGGTTTTTCATGGCACTGAAATCATTACCATTTCCCTTACTAAAGCGATGATATTGACACCGAATTTGTTCGCGTTATAATCATATACATATTGCGCTTCGATGATCGCGTCAACCTTTATTTCAAAAGCAAACAGCAAGCAGGATATATGCTCAATTGATACCAAGTTTTTCATCATCAATTACAAAATAGGCCCGTCCCCTTGATAGAAAGACTAAGTATGGTGGCGCTAATCTGATTTGTTTGACACTGATTGATGAGGACATGGAATTCCAGTGGCAAGCAAGTGCCAGTCGTCTATTCACATACACCAGTAGACATAGAATCGCGAGTGAATTGTCTGTAAATTAAGCCATGTACAGCCTATATAATTGAGTTTTAACATATATTGTACTGATATAGATAGATAATATGGATTATTTCGATTTTCGTGACTTGAAAATAAAACAATTTCAAGAAGACTCAGAAAAAAACATCGATAAATTTGATTCCCAGAATTTCCTGTGCTGTATTAATATACTGAAGAACAAATACATGTATGCACATGTTGATGTCCAATATTTTTTGAAGGTCTCTTTTCTTCTCAAGATTCCTTCCAAATAGATTTTTTTTTAAATTTACAGTCTTAACATCCTCGCCTAAGATGGATAGAATAAACAGAATTAAGAGAATTTTGAGCTTTTTTTTGGCCCTGTGAGTTTTTGAAAAATCAAAACTCAGTTTTAGGTTACAATGCATTTAAAATCACTTGGACCTTTGGTTTTTATCTATTGAAAATGACGACGTAATATTCTCGCTAGTCAGTGCAAATGAACTTCGTTATTATTCCCATTTCCCCAAAAAATGCCAAATGTTCAAGCCGTTTTTCGGTGTTTTATATAAAGCTGTTAGCACAACCTGCAATCCAGAATTTGCAATTATGTAGTATTAGAATTGTTTCTATAAACATGTTTAACCGTTCACGGTAGCTCAGTCGGTAGAGCGCTCGCTCCGTGATCGGGAGGTCGTGAGTTCGAATCTCGGCCGCGACTGACCTTAGTTGATAAAAAATGGGTAGTAACTGTTCCTTCGTCATGCGCTCGGCACTTTGAAGTGAAAGTTGCGGGTCCTTCGGATGAGACCTTAAAAAAAGATGCCTCGTGTCACGGCAGGCGTTGGCACGATAAAGATCCCTCACTGCTCAATGGACTTGAGTGCCGAGTAAAGGTCAAAATTTGAAGCCTTTCACCGGAATATGGTGACGTCTCTATATGAGTGAAAAATTCTCGAATGGGACGTAAAACAACATACAATCAATCAATAAACATATATAATTTTTTGGATCGAGGACTGTGCTGACATTTTAATTCTTTGCTGAAGGTACTGTAATACACCTGTTTTCTGCAAAGTTCACCAACACTAACAATTTTACAAAACCTATTTTCCAGTACATGGACTCTCAAGAAATTTATCACAGGAAATGAAACAGTCTCTACATTAGTGATGTTTGAAATGGGACATATAGTATTAGTCAATTAAATGATATATGAACAGGGCCATTTTATGTATAAAGTGAACCTAGAGCTCTTTCATTATTTTTTAAATTGTCAAAATAAAATTTATTTTTGTAATATCGATGATTTAAAGATAAGATCGATAAACATACATATGCACATGTACACTCTATATATATCATACCCCAAGTGATTCTTTATACCCGGTATATCATAGCTGGCGTAGTCTTTGATCGTCTTCTTTGATCTAGGGGAAGGGATGGGGAGGTATGTAAAATTAAACAGCTTTGTTTCGATCAGTGAGCATGGTATTTTGAACAATTGCTCTACAAACATATTTACCATGACACCCTAGGTAGCGGGTGTCATGAAATATGCCTATAGAGCAAATAATGTTCATAACACTATGGTCATTGAAAAACATTGATTATTTCTTGAATCAGTTCAGGATGTTTTAATGTGATGTAAACAGGATTATAAATTAAGGTCTAGAAAAGCCGCTGACCAGGAATGCCTAGCACTGGACATCAGTAAATCAGAAGAGTGATTACTGTATTTCATTCCATTGACAAATTGGCAGAGGAAATAGAAAATCAATTTAGACCTGATTCTGATGCTACCAGTTCTACGACCGCTGTAGAAGAAAATTATCATACTCCAAGAGCATAATTTCCGTAAATCATCTTTAGACGCAGTTTGGTTTGAAAACTTCTGTATAGTAAACACAATAACCACAAAACACTTCCTTTTTATTTTACAGATACGATTTAGTCGACGTAAGCGGTACACCGATTGGTGAGTTATTTTAAAGTAGAATATTTATTGTTTTCCACCCTCATACCATAAATCTTTTTATTAGATTATCTCAGACTCTGGGGAAAATCGTAAATCTTAATACCATGAATTTGATTGTTCACACTTAAGAAAGACGCTCTGTTATCAGATCATCGATCTTTTTATTAGGTTGTTTTTTTTTTAAATTTAAGACAGAAAGCTGTTATCTTGATGTTAGGTTGTTTTTATACTTAAATTGACTACGGATATTGCGTCAACCTGATCAATACATAGGGCTCACGGCAAGTGTGACCGGTCGACAGGGGACGCTTACTCTTTCTAGGCACCTGATCAAACCTCTGGAATTTCCAGGGGTCTGTGTTTTATTGTCCTGATTACAGCTTAGTTTCCGTGTTTTTTCTATTTGCATGTAGTTTTGCATACATATATATATATTATGTTTGTTAAAGGTCGTGTATTATCATAAATAATTAGAAGGTACTAGTATGCAATAGAGAAAGTTTGAAGCATAAACAAAAACCATTCAAGGCAGTATATACAGGCCCGTAGGAAGCAATTTCACTTTGAGGGGGCACAACCATTCATTTTCAGTTGAGGGGGCACTTTCAACTGCCAAAATTCCTTGACAAGCAAAAAAAAAAAAAAGGTCATCAGACGTTATTAGTGAGGGGGCACAAGCATATAGTAGCTATGTTTTCTATAGTATTCTATATATAGGCAAAATTACTGGGGGGGGGGGGGGCACGCCCCCCCCCGTGCCCCCCCCCCCGGTTCCTACGGCCATGATATATAATTGAAAAAAATTAAAAATATTATCTTTGAACTTATATTATCTTAATATCAACAGAATACGGGCAATAAAAGTAACCTGAGGCTTAAATAGATAATTCTTATCAATCAGTTTTATTTGGGGGGGGGGGGGGGGTAATATTAGATTAAAAACACAGTATAATATCATGACTTATATGTTGCTAGAGCATTTCATACAAAGATATCATAAAAGCAACTTCTTTAATCATTCTGTCACGTGACACAGACGAAGCTAGAGGTGTTTTCAGCCGCTCTGTGTTTTTTTGACAATTTCTTCCGAATCTGAGTTTCTTCTTGAGGAATATTTAAGTTTCGGAAGTCTAGTGTGTGAATGTGTATGTTTGGCTTCGGGATTTTTCATCAAAAACTCATTGTAAAAAAGTTTGATTTCGTGTATATATGTGTGTTGATTTCATCAGTGATTTCTTCTCACTTGTTTACCTGTGTTTTTCACCTGACGATGGCTGAGAGTGATTTCGACTCAATCTCTTCCACGGTCGATAGAACATCAAAGCCGTTATACTTAAAGAACAATGACCTCCAGGGTTCCTCTAAAAAACAGATCACTGACTTTGATCTTATTGACCCAATAACAAAAGTAATCGGCGATGATCTACTGTGCGTGCAACTTGACCGCAATCTTTGGAGAATTTACCTCAAAAGTACAGAATGCAGACTTAAGCTTCTCACACAGGGTATTGATATCAATAGTGTATCCTACCAGTTTTATGATACGAACCCATACACCTCTGGTGCTACATCTGTAACTCAAAAAACTCTTAAACTACGGATTTGTGGTCTCCCCCTCTCTGTTGCCGATTCCGCGGTACAGGAACTACTTAACAAGCTGAATGTCAAATTAACAAGTAAAATTCTGTACGAAAAGATCCGCCATCCAGATACAAACCGGATGACAAGTATCCTAAATGGGACCAGGTTCATGTATATTGAGCCTCTTCCAGACGGAAAATATCTACCCAGAATTAATTACTGTGGTGGTATTCAGTGTAAACTTTTTCACTACGGTCAACCCAAAAAAGACATAAACCTTCTATGTACAAATTGCTGGAAAACTGACCACACTCGCTCTAATTGTACATTCGATACCTGCTGTAAGGTATGCAAACAACCTGGCCATTCCCCCGGGAATGAAGCATGCCCGCATTACCAGCCACAAAAGCATTTGACCCCTTTCTGTGGTGCAGAGGATGTTCTATCCAATTTTTACCCATGCAATTTGGATATATTTGGTGTCAAACACAAGTCGGCTGAGCATGCCTTTCAGTACATTAAAGCAATAAGATGTGGTGACCTAGAGTCTGCCAATATCATCAAGGATGCCGATGATGCCCTTTCCGCTCTACGCCTAGGCAAAAAAATTAAATCCAACGAGCAGTGGGAGTCTACCAAGGTGTGTGTCATGGAGGAGATCTTGGAAAACAAATGTGTCCAGGTACCTGTTTTCAGAGATAAATTGTGTACCTCCAAGCAATCAACAGTTTTTGTAGAAACAACGTACAACAATGAGTGGGGATCTGGACTTGACCGTGATGGTACGTGCAACACCAAACCTGAACACTGGCCGGGAAAAAACACTCTTGGTGTCCTTATGAAAAAAATTGCAAAAAAAGTTAGAAAAAGAAAGCTAAGTGATCCTACAAAAAATGAAAGAAAACAAAAACAAAAAGAACATTCAAACCAACGCACAATAGTGCAAATGCTACATCAACTTAGAGAAATGTCTGACAGCGATGCATCTGGCTGTAATCCTGACACGGAGAGTTCCGAGGATGAGAAGTAACTGTATTTTCTCCGGTCAGACTGACGCAGCATTTCATGAACTATGGTATGTGCTTAGTGTTATATTTATTTATAGACAAAAATGGCATACTTTAAAAATGCTATCATGAATTGGTATAACTTTTTTTTTTTACTTGTAAACTAATTACACTTATATTAGCGTATTTCCCTTTTTTCTTATATGACATTATTATACAGTTATATCCACCAGAAAAATGAAAAATTTAAGTTTACTGTCGGTGAATGTAAGAGGTCTTAATTCGCCGGAAAAAAGAGCCAAAATTTTTACATGGTTAGAAGAGAGTAAAATAGATATAATACTTTTACAAGAAACTCATTTTGTTGAAAAACGTGTGGAAAATTATGATAGAAAATGGAACGGGAAAATAGTACATGCTTTTTCAGACTCTCCTTTTAGTAGAGGAGTTTCCATTCTTTTCAACAGAGATTGTAATGTAGATATTTTAAATGTACATAAGTCTAATGATGGAAGGAAAATACTTATTAATGTAAAAATAGACGATAATTTATTTACAATCATTAACGTATATGCACCCAATAAAGAGTCAGATAGGTTAGCCTTCTTAAACACTCTCAACAAATTTATTTCTTCTTTTTCTGCGCAAGATAGTACGATCATAATAGGAGGTGATTTCAATTGTAATTTTAATAAAGAAAATGACAAATCAAATAAGAAATTGAATAAAATAGTAAATAAGCTCGACTTAATCGACGTATGGCGTAATAAAAATCCTGCTAACAATGGTTATACATGGTGTGATGCAGAAAGTTGTCCAAAGAGTAGGATAGATTATATTTTTGTAAATAAAGACTTTATAGAACGTGTAAAAAATATTATTGTACGACGAATTCCAGGTACTCACAATAATAGCACACGGTTAAGTGACCACAGATATCTTAAATGTACTTTAAATCTTAGTAAACTAGAAAGAGGTGCAGGTTACTGGAAATTAAATGTATCTCACCTTGAAAAGGATGATTACAAACACGGTATAATAGATATATATAACAATATTGATGAAACGCTAGATCCAATTTTGAAATGGGAAACTTTTAAAATAAGTGTTCGTGATTATTCTATTAAATACGCAAAACAATCTAAGCATAATATAAAATATAAAGTAAAACTGCTTGAGGAAAAAATCGATAATATTGAATCATTGCGTAGTTCAGAAATTAATATGAATGAAAAGCGAAAACTAGAGAAAGAATTAGATGCAATGTATGACGAAATTGCTAAAGGAGCTCAAATAAGATCAAAAGCGCAATGGATAAGCGATGGAGAGAGAAATACAAGTTTCTTTCTAGGATTGGAAAAAAAACATCAATCAAATAATACGATAACTGAATTAAAAAAGAATAATAAAACATTTGCTAGTAATAGTGAAATTTTACAAGAAATGTGCCTTTTTTATGAAAACTTATATACAAGCAAATCTGTTGATGATAACAATATTTCGTCTTATTTACAAGACATTGAATGTCCAAAGCTCAATGATCGCGAGCGAAAGTTTTGCGACACATTTCCAACATTTGATGAATGTTCAGATGTGGTTCATAATTTAAAAAGCAACAAATCTCCAGGTTTAGATGGATTACCAGGGGAATTTTATAAATGTTTTTGGAATATAATTGGACCTCTCTTTTACGAAGTATTATTAACTGTATTTGAAAAAGAAGAATTACCATATTCTCAGCGATTGGCACTTATCACCCTTTTATTTAAGAAGGGTGACAAGAATAGTCTTAAAAACTACAGACCATTAAGTTTAACAAACACCGATTACAAGATTATAGCCTTTGTTCTCGCAAAAAAATTACAAAGTGTCATAGATAAATTAATTAGTAAGGAACAATCGGCATATATCAAAGGTCGCTACATAGGTATAAATGCAAGATTAATTTTAGACATTTATGAATATTGTATGGAAAATGAAAGAGATGGATTATTACTATTTTTAGATTTTGAAAAGGCTTTCGATTCAGTCGAGTGGAATTTTCTTTTCCAAGTTCTGAAAAAATTTAACTTCGGTGATAATTTTCTCCAATGGATGAAAATTCTGTACAATAAACCAATATTCAGAATTAAAAACAATGGATGGATTTCTAAAACTTGTAGCATGAATAGAGGTATTAGACAAGGATGCCCTATTTCAGCTCTATTGTATCTATTTGTGGCAGAAATATTGGCCCTTAAAATTAAAAATAACAATGAAATACAAGGTATTAATTTATCAAACACGAAAAGAGATATAAAAAATATTCAGCATGCAGACGATGTCACACTGGCTTTAAAAGATATATCTTCTTTAAATATTGCAGTAACGACTGTTAATGAATTTTGTAAACACGCTGGCTCAAAAGTTAAT